GAAGTCACCCCTCTTGAAGTTGCCGAGTTTGCAGAACGCTGTGTTTGCCCATGAAGAAAGGTCTGATATCGGGATCAGCTCCGGCGCCTTTCATCTTGCTAGCAAATTGCTGCCGTTCTCCTCCCCGAATGCAGGGTGGGTGTTGTGGTGAATGGAATGCAGCCACGCTGGGTCAGAGACACCATTCCCCACAGATCACTGGCTCGGCTGCGGTATTTGAAGGCAGCAGTTAACTCTCTCCAGGGAACGATCTGGGAAAACCCTGTCTGGGTGTGGCTGTCTACATCTGCACATTTTGAGGTTCTGGGGCAAGATTTTTGAAGCTTTGATGAAAGGTGTGCTCCACAGCGACTCAGCCTGTTCCTTTCACAACCTGTCCCTTTCAAAAAAAGTTGGCTGCATGCCTACCAAAAATTCAGGGCCTCTCCTTGGGGGAGGGTTCGCCGACTTATTTTAGGCGGACCCCCCTCCCTTTTTTTTTAGGAATGATGAGAACTGCTGGTGGAAAACGTTGCAGCCTTGAGAAGACCTTTTCCCTATCTTGGCCCAGTTCTTTCCTGGGGTTTTTCACTCTGCTCGGGTCAATTTTGCAAAGCTTCGTCTGTTCCATGTACCTCATTTTTCATCGGAGAATGAACCTGATCCAATTTGTCTTCTTGAGACCTAGCTACTTCTGTTTTAGATGCCGTGCACGGTTCCCAAGACTTCAGCTCCCAGAATTCCTAGGTACCTTGGCCAAAGGAGATTGTGGGAGTTGATATCCAACAGAACTGGAGGGCACCTAGCTGAGGAAGAGAACGGTAGAGCCATTGTGCTACTCAATTTCATCGTGTGATCCTTAGGTTGATGTGATCACACTCCTGTTTTTTCCAGTAGCTAAGTTGCATTGGTGTCTTGAGCAAGAGCACAAGTGTCTGTTCTTCAGCCAAATGTTGTAGAAGCGAAGGAAGCCGGGACAGATGAAGCTCTTCCTCTGGCCAGCTCACACCTGACAGGCCACATCTCTCTCTGCTGTGACTCCAGCAACATTCAGTTCTTTCTGAAGCTCTTATTGCAAACATTGGAGAATCAAAAAGTCGAAACCAGTTTTAGAGAGGGGCCAATTGTTCTAACTGAAGCTACCTGTCTCTGAAAGAGAAGAAAGGTGTTCATCTGACTTCCATGAAGAATGTATCTTTCGGTTTTGGGTTCCCCCTATCACTTGTCATTTATTTCCCACATGGAAAAGGTTTCTGGTCCGTGTGGCATTGTATCTCCATTGGATACACTTCAGTGATTTCCTTGATGCCAGTATGATGCTTTTCTGCCTGTGGTTAGCTTTTGGGGGATCTTAGAGGATGAGGTTCACAACTCCTCACCCATAACAACATTCTGTTCAGCATACTTTGCATGTTGCTTTAGCTATAATGTTTTTGCCACATGGAGGCTGAAGATCGCTAAAACACAGCTTACGTGAAAGGGTGTCTGCCGGGAGGGGTTAATCAAAAAAGTCAAGACGGCAGACGCTATTATGGCCATCGTCTCGACACCATCTTGACTTTTTTTGACCATTCCATGTAGACGCCCCTGGATACGTGACCCTGCACGCAAAGTCATCCCGTTGCAGTCTGGCCCTCTTGAAAGCTGGCCCTCCTCAGATCTAACTTGAACATTGTCATTGGCCTGTCTTGTTTTTTAATCCTCCTACCAGAGACCTTCTCACATTGTTCTGAGAGAGACAGGCGTTTAAGCAGCCATTACTTATTTTCTGTTTTGTTCTTTGGTGTGTGTGCGTGTGTGTGTGTGTGCTAGATTTACAGTTTGTGCTGTGAGT